TATATATGCCATTTATTTTTATGTTATTAAAAACTTCTGTCAATGCTAATTTACACGTAACAGATTCATGATTGTTCATTTTAATTAATGAACAAATGGGTGTTAATATGGAGGACTAAACCTATGTAAGAAAAATTGAAGACAAAAAATTCGATTTACAACATGACATAGTAAAAACGCATCAAGATCTAGAAGGAACAAGGATACTTGTAGGTAGAATCTGAAAAGGGCTATACTATATATACCACTTCCAATCACATAAAGTGTGTTCATATAGCTTAGTAATCAATCTATATTTTGACTATATATAAAGTATTTAGGGGCATTAGGGCACGTCCCCACCATGTTAAAACCAGAGAAATTAATCGAGACATGTTACTTGATCATTTTTGTGATCAATCAAGGAATCAACCATAGTATGCAAAACCTCAACGCTGCAAGGAAAATTCTATATATTATGTCACCACCAAACTATATATATATTATACATATATACCTAATCTTTTCATCTGCGACATGTTAGTGATTTTGTTATTTATATTTATATATAAAAGTAATTTATTGTTTTAGTATACAAATTATTTTAACAATTTTAACCTTTTATAAAAACTGCATAAATTATGTAATAATGATTAATCAATGACCAAAAAATATTGTATAGAAGTTTTATTCTAGAAACTTTGATAACTACACACTACTCCTACTAATATGTGTATATTTAAAGAAAGTCTTCACGAAAATACGAAGTGACTTCTTTTCTGCTAGTTTCTATAAAGAAAATGAAGCTTAATTTAAAGCTATTAGATACACTTCACAGTATACATACAATTACAAACTGTGTATACAGAATTTCTACGCTAAATATCCAACTAAGGTGTGACTATTATTTGTATGTCCTAAAAGTCTTGATTGAACATGATGACAGTGAGAGAGCAAGATAACACTACGAAAACGACACCACTAAGAAGCATATATGAAGTTAATAGTTCTTAGAAAAGCAATGTGGTACCAATAGAAAAGAGAGATTTTAAGAACGTGACATTTCAACAAGGTAGGGGCCAGTCCCCAATATATTTTGTAACAGTGTCAGGAGCTATGTGACCTACTTAAGTCACATAATTAATATGCAGAATTATGGTTTTCTACATTATAAACAGACGAGAAAAGAACTAGTATTAAGTTGTTGGTAACAGTCCTTATCACGAAAGTGACAAAAGCTTGTGCAATTCCTTTGTTTAATATATAGTTACAACTATATATATTCTCAGCTGTGGAGAATCTGTGTAGTTTATGTATGAGGTATTAGCTTTAAACTTGTCATTGTTAAAAAAAGAAAAGAAAAGAAAAGAAAAAACTATATATGCTATGAGTTACGTGTAGAGTACAATTGAACAATATAAAACTACGGGAAAATATCTTCTAATTCATTCTTATTCTTGAACTTGAACAAGGATAAGAACCATTGTTTAGATGCTTGGCCAGATAAGGATAAATGTTCTTGGCATGGCACCGTGCCCTTCAAGGAATTGGAATTGAATTCCATAGTCATTGGGCCTCGGAAAAAACCTTTTTTTGTGTGCATCCATGTTAATGCAAATAAAAGGGTAAAACAGGAATTTTCTTGAACCTATTCTCAACCACATTAACTGTGAAATAAAGATTGACCCATAACGGATTATAAGTCAAAAACATGATTACAAATGCCTATATTTAAAGTTGGAGCAAATTAGAGGGTCACTATGTATCAAATTCACATTTATTTTTGTCTTCCTATATAAAATAATGGAGATAAACCCCTCCAACAGAAGTAGAACCACAAACAGCTTAATTCCTTGTTTTATTATTTTTTTAATTGAAAAAAGTCCTCGTGCTTTTGTCTTTTGGATTGGCATGGGGACGGAGGAATAAATCATGCAAGTGAAAACATTGGAAGTGTTTTACACTTTCTTATTACTTTTAGGCTTTACTCATAAAAATGGGGGAGAACATTTTTTAGGTGCTTTCCAAAAGGGGGAGGTGTTGCAAGAGCTTCGTTTTTCAAAAGATAAAGTTTTAAAATTTATCTTTTTTTTTTTTTTTTTTTTTTTTTTTTTGGAAAT